GGGGCCCGGGCCCAGGGAGCGGCGCTAAACTCCGCACCGCGCGCCCCGCCGCACGCAGCACTGGGCAGTGGATACCCGCGTCCGGGGATGAAGAGTATTAGAGACCCCCCCAGTCACAGTCCTGAGTATTAGATACTCCTAGCCCTGGGTATTAGAGACCCCCGCAGCCCTGGGTATTAACAAGAGTATTAAAGACGCCCCTCCCAGCCCTGAGTATTAGCAGGGGTATCAGAGACCCCAGCCCTGAGTGTGAACAAGAGTTTGAGAGACCCCAGCCCTGGGTATTAATGGTATTGGAGACCCCCAGTCCTGGGTATTAGCAGGGGGTTAGAGACCCCAGCCCTCAGCATTAGCAGGGTATTAGATACCTCCAACTCTGAGTATGAGCAGGGGCATGAGAGACCCCCCAACCCACACACGAGTTTCCATTAAGATCAAACCTTAGCATGAACCAGGAGCAGCCCCAGTCTCGCTGCTGCCGCCCCCAGCCCTGCCCTGACCCGAGCATCGGGTACCAGCACCCCAACCCGTGACTTCTTACCAGGGACAAGTGCCCAGTGATTAGCCCTAAGGACCGGGCTGTCCCCATCCCTTCCAGCCCTTGCTACATCACCTGGTTTCGCCCGCGGGCAAAACAAGCCAGAAGGAATTTAAAATGTGCAGGTGTCAAAAGGAAACAGCTAAGTGGTCTCTGGGCTATCCGAGGAGCCCTCCCGCGTGCGTGCCGCGTCCTCCCCAGCCCCAGGTGCGACGGGGGTGAGCACAGCAGGCCGTACCGCGCTTGGATCTGGGCCGCTGGCTCCCCGGAGGTGCGGACACCCAAAGCCAGTGGCCGTTGCTCTGAGTGCCGGGTGAGATGGGGGTTCCCGGGAGCAGCAGGGTATAGACGCCCAGCAGAGAAAGTTTGGTGAAGCCCCCAACCCATCAGATACACATTGCATTGCTCCGATTGGGGTCCCCGCCAGCGTCTCTAAGAGAAACAAAAACCGCGGAGTCAAAGGAAAAGCAGCGTCTACGCAGACCACACCTCTGTACAAATGTGGTCCAGACGTTTCTAACCATTCTCTGGGGAGGGAAACAATAAAAGCACTGAAATCAGTGACCACAGGGACAGTCGGCAGGTCCCCGTTTGATCAAGATCAGCCCAAGCTGGTCTATTAGACACACAGCATAATCCCCCCATGAGCAGGATCTGAGGGATGTTGAAGCCAACAGGTTACTTGTCCCAAACAGCATCTGGCATTAAAATGCAGCCATAAGGTAGAGCAAATACTGCGCTGGCTACAGTTCCAGACCATCTGGGATCCATCTTGCAGCCGAACACATGGTAGAAGCGCTGTCTGGAGGCTGCCACGTGCTCTCCGTCCGGCTAAAAGCATTGCCGAGTCACTGGTGGCAGAGATCACAGGATCTCGTAGCACTAAATGACTTGAGAGTTGCCATTATTCCTAGATAGCAGCTGCTGCCATGCCAGTCCTGACTAGACACTTGGAGTATTAATTACTTTCAGCTTTAGGTATTGATTCCTATTAACCAAGAACACTAGTAGAGCGCTCAGACACAATGTTACTACTAGTTAATGGCACTTGAGTATTAACGGGCCAAGTAGCTGCCAGCAGGCTGGAGTTAATATTCTAGGCCTCAAAGACTATGGAGGCATCTGGATTAGCAAAGCTACTGGCTTCCACCCCCTAACTGATGGTTGATAGCTGCTGCTAACACAGTCAAGCATAGTTAGCAAGTGCCCAGCCTCTCAAATGCCAGGACCCTGAAAGAGAAAGAAAAGAAGGTAGGGAGGGAAGAAGAAGGGGGAGGAAGGGTGGGATACAGAGGGTATTAGCAAGGGTAGCAGCTGGGGGCCTTGTTCATCCTCTCGTCTTTCTTGTTAGAGCTCATTTATACAAATAGGGGCTATGTTCGTCACAGGGAGATGCTATCTGCAGTTAGCAATACATGCTGCTAGTATGTATTAGCACAAATAGCCTTTCTAATCTTAGCTATGTTACTTCGGCAGTGATGCTAGTTGGAAAGCCATGGTGTTGTGCTCATTGGTTGAAGTACAGCACAACCTACCTGCCCCACAAAGACAAGGACCTGCTTTGCAAGGTGCTGTACGTACAACAAGACGGCCTCTCTCCCAAGAAGCTTACAATATGAAGAGCCCTGGAGTGGGAGGGGAAACAGGCTCAGAAGGGGTTGTGATACACAGGTCCGATACAGAGGCAGGTGTGCCCAGTGCTTCCAGTCCACTGCCCAGTCCATGCTGGTTCCCAGAAACAGTGCTTGCCATCAGCACTGACGCTCACCACACAGGAAGCAGGAAAAGTCAATCTTGCAGCCGGAGACCTCTCTCCTGAGTTGATGTGAATCTGCCAGGGTTTGCAAGGTGCCATTTGGGACAAGGTTTGCAGCCATCTACTTCTTCTCCCCAAAGCTGGTTTCCTTCCTCCTCCAGCCCATTCACTCAAGAGTCCATGTCTTTGTAGTCTGGGTCAAGAAGCCCCTGCATCCTCTGCTCACCCCAGTCTTGCCATGCCTCAGTTTACCTCTCTGGGGAACAGAGCTCACACCTCATTGTTGGCAGCTTGAATTATTTGGTGTTTGCACCTCTAACAGAAACTCAACATGCTACTGTCACTGGCCAACGGATGGAAACGTGATGCCCGAAGGAATCCAAAACAGCAGGCAAATAAGAAGCACCAAACATGAATCTTTGTTAAAAAATCCTGTGGTTTTAAGACTAATTGCACAGGGTTTGGGACCCTGGAGGTGACAGCTGCATATAAAGGCTGCGCGCTTTAGTTCTGTGGGTGCGAGCAAGGGCATAAGGACAATAATGATTATTTCAGAACAGGCTTGGACTGTCTTTAGTTTTAAATGCCTTTACTCCAGATTGTCCACAGGCCCCTTTGAAGATGTTAGGAATAATTTCCCCACTTCTTCTCAGCTTAACAGTGTTCAGCCATGGGCTGTTTCCCACTGCCTGTTCTGAATGGGAATCAATCAGCAGGTTTAGCACTGGATGAGACCGCGGATCATAGCACCTGACCTTTGCTGTGCTACCGACTTGCTAAGGGACCTTTGGTGAGTCACTTCCCCGCTCTCCTGGGTTTGAACACAAGGCATGATTACACCAGTAGAAGCGATGGGTAGGGGGATGATGTGAACCAATGCACCAGTGTAAGGACCTGGAAGCTGGAGTAAAGCTACCTTGGGAAAAATCTGCTGTAAAACTACCCCCATATATGTTATGCCAGTATAGTGGGGCATGCATCTGCTTCCATCCGCGCATGGTTGGGAAGGTAAAACCCAGAGCGCTGCGATTTCTCTCTGCTCCCTAACTGAGCAGACAACAAAAGCCTGCACACTCCTCCTTTTCTCTATGGAAACAGTCGCTTGTGCGGTGCATTGTGGGGTGATGGACAAACTGCCTGCTGCCAGCATCCGTCACTCAGCTTGCCATCCCGGGAGCAGAAGACGGGCTGGGGGTGCAGGTGGGGGATCCAGCCCCACCAGCACAGGCTGCCTTGTCCTCCCACGCCCAGCTTTGGGGAGACAGTGAGCACCTTGCTGGCGATGCCCATCCTGCCGTTGCCATCCAGACACTTGGCACCAGGAGGGAACCAGGCAGGAACCCGCCTGTGGTCCGGGGCCCAGCTCCAAGCTGGCTGGCAGCCCCTGCATCAGGGCATGAAGCAGAAAACTGGCAGCAGAGGGATGAGCTGAACCTGGAGAGGCTAACCCCCAGCACCGACACATCCAAACACCAAACCAGGATAAGCTCACCCAGTAAACCACAGCTCGAGCTGAATCACTGTGATCCATCCTGTGACAGTACCAGGAACCCCTGATGCTAGGTGCTGCACAGATCTGAGATGCAGAGGCAGTTTCTGCCCCTGGGACATCCGAACTGGTG